CTCTAAAGGGTCAGTATGGGAATGTAGTGAGGGGAGGAGGTATAGGACCTTCTAAGAAGTGAAGCCTAGAGGGAGGCCATGGCCTTGAAAGGGATTAACTTGGGAGTGGGGCTGGTTTATTCATAAAGAGTATCATTCATAAAGAGTCACAGAGCAGGGCAGCCCTCCCCTGGCTCTGGCTCTCTTACCACTTACCGGTGGTGTCAGCCCTGAAATGCTGTGGTAAGGAATGTCTCGCCACACTCTAAGACATTTCGAACTTTGAGCTAAATAAACCTTTTCTCTTTACAAATTACTCAGCTTTGGGTCTTTTGTGACAGCCACAGAAATGAACTAGTGCACCAAATATAAAACTTTCTTTGATACTTAGCTCTACAAAATTAGAGCCGAGGGGAAGGCTCCCACGAGGTCCCATTTAACCACACAGGTTGGCAATCAAGTTTAGAAATAAAAAACTTCTTCCCAACATACACTCCTGCTGGCATCACCCTACTAACCTCATTTTTTAAAAGTAAAGACCTTTCCACATGTGTATTTCTAATTTGTTTGTTTGTCAGTGCTGGGACTGAATCCAGGGCCTGGAGCCTGCCAAGCAAGCTTCCCTACCACTGAGCTATACCTCAGCCTATCTGCTAAGTAGCTAGTTATTTACAGTTACTGTTCCACCTCAGATGATCTAGTAAACAGTGAATACACTCTGTGCAATGGGGAACATGATTTTATAACTAAACTGTAATATCTGTACACTGCAATCTCCTGCCCTTACACACATACACGCACGAGCACACACACACACACACACACACACACACACACACACACACACACAATAAACTTGTGTAGAAAAACAGAGCTGAGCACACCAGAGCACTCCCCATCCCCCACCCCCACTTGGGTTCCCTTGGCTTGAGTCCACCATGCTGGCTCATTCCCACCCACCATTAGCAGAATGCCTCTCCAGGGCCATATGGACCACGATGATGAGTCATCTGTCATCCAGAATTCCTTCCTCAGCCCTTCCACATTCAGTCACCTTTAGCTCACTCACAGGCACGTCCTCTGCAGAGCGCATCAGCATATGCCCTGTAACATAAGGAGTCTAAAGCTGAACGCCGGCACCAGGCATTTGTCATTCCGTACATCCAACCTCTGCCAAATGGATTGACTCCAGAGCTTTAAAGAAAAATCACACTGAAAGTGACCAGATGGGTTTGCAAGGAGAAAGCAGTGCAAACCAAATCAGTCGGGAGAGTGACGCACTTGACTAAAAACAGGCCCATGATGTAAAAGAAATAAAATTCTTTACCCTGAGAGGAAGAGTTAGCCTTGAAAGACACATGGAACATTCCACCACTGACTGACCTGTCAATTCTGCAGGACTGCATACTTCAGAAACTAATTTTGAACTTAATACCTTGTGGAGTCACTTCCCAGAAATCCAGGACAAGCACACCAGGAAAGACAAAGAATGACAGAATTGTCTGGCTCTTGTACGTAGTCAACACTCAGTTCGAATCCCTGGACATACAGTACTCCCTCCATCCTTACAAATGCATTCCTGTGCCTTGCCATGAGCAACCGGAGGCTCAGAGAGATCAGGTATAACCCTCGGGGCCACACACTGCCAAGAAGTGCAAGGGCTGGGGGTCAGCTGAGCCTTCTGACACCAGGACACCTCCGTGCTGACTACATTAACCCCTTCTCCAAAAAAGCTCAACACAGCTGACCCTTCTTAACATGGATCTTTAGGTTCACTAAAACTATACTAATTCATTTTAGAAGATTCAAGAAGCCTCACGATTGAAGAACTTAAACTAAAGAAATTGTTGTGAGGGAGTGGTAAAACGTATTAGTCACTGCAAAAGGATTTTTTTTAAAGTATTGGGGGAAGTAGTGCTGTAGTTCAAGTGGTAGAGCGCTAGCCTTGAGCTGAAGAGCTGAGGGACAGCGCTCAGGCCCAGAGTTCAAGCCCCATGACCAACCAAAAAGAAAAACAGGAGTATCAGGGATCAAGGCATAGTATTGTGTATATACAATCCTCAACTGGAGAGGATGACACAGGCGTACTATGAATTTAAAGCTACCTCCAAATATTGGGTATCCCCTTAAAGAGTATCAGGGAGTTAACTTTCTGTGATTTCAGGGCATGGTTTGGAAAATCAGCATGCCTGAAGAAGTGCCAGGAAACTGGTAACAGCCAAGAAACTGAAGAGGATGACAATGAAGACTAACTACCTAGAGCAGCAGCACTTGACCTCCATCACAGACCTGTCAACCTCCCTTCTTGCTATTCTCCAGGGATGGGACCTCCTTGCCACACCACTGCTATAGCTTCTAATAATTCTAGGACATCTCTTAGTTAGTACAGTTAGTCTAAAGAAGTGTTACTTGGCTTTTAGTTGACATCTTCCACCCTATGCCAGCCCCCAGTCTCTCCTGTGATATGTACTGAATAGTCTTTTGGAGAGTTCAATCCAATCACATTAGGATCCTTCCTAATTTTTTCCCAGTTTCACTGTGTTAAATGTGAAATGTCCCCCACAAGTCCGTGGGTTAAATGCATGCTCCTCTGCCAGTGGCACTATTTTGGAAGAGTCTATAAGCTTTAGGACCTAGTTGGAGGAAACAGATCACATTTTTTTTCTTTTGTCAGTTGTGGGGCCTGAACTCTGGGCCTGAGCACTGTCCCTCAGCTCTTCAGCTCAAGGTTAGGCTCTGCCACTGGAGCCAGAGGGCCACTTTTGGCTTTTTCTACTTATGTGGTGCTGAGGAATCGAACCGAGGGCTTCATGCATTCAAGGTAAGCACTCTACCACTGAGCCATCTTCCCAGCCCGAAAAGAACCCTTTGAAGGTTATACCTCGCCCTTAGTCCAGCCCTTCTACCTTCTCCTCCTTCTACTTCTCCTCCTCCTCTTTCCTTCCTCCTCTCCACACTCTTCCTTGTTGTTGTTCTTGTTCCACTCCCCCCAGTCTTTCTCTCCTGTCCATCATGAGGTAAGCAGCCTGTTATTCCACACATTCTCTACCACTGTAACATTCAGTCTTACCATGGGCCCAGAACCAAAGGTGCAAATAAGCCCTATGGACTGAAATGTCTGAAATCATGAACCCAAATCAACACTTCCTCCCTTGTTTCTCAAAGATGATGATCAACGCAGCATGACAACATACATCATCAAAATCGTATCACCTCAAGCTTGCCCCTGCCTCCTTTTGCTTGCAAGCTGCAAAAGTGTTAGGCTAGTATAGGAAGGGTGGCCCAAGTGTAGAGAGCCTGACTAATAAATGCAAGGCCCTGAATTCAAACTCCAATACCACCAAAAATATAAGTAACTACAAAGTGTCTATTATCCTGTACATAGAGACACTATGCCCTGCCCCCCCAAAAGCACTTCCCAACCCCTATTCATCCACCTGAGGAGCAGTCACCCATTCACTTTTTCTTTTTCTTCTCTTTTTTTGTGCCAGTCTTGGAGCTTGAACTCAGGAGCCTAGGTGCTGTCCCTGAGCTTTTTTGCTCAAAGCTAGCACTATACCACATGAGCCACAGTACCACTTCTGGCTTTTTTGCTCATTAATTGGAAATAAGAGTCTCATGAACTTTCCTGCCTAGCCTGGCTTTGAACCACAACCCTTAGATCTCAGCCTCCTGCGTAGCAAGGATTACAGGTGTGAGCCACAGGAACCCAGCTCCATTCATTTCTTTCATAAAGTTGATCCAACCCTCCTTCCCATCAGTAGTACAAGAGATAATTTTCTTTGTGTTTTCAGAGCACCACATAAACAGGATATGTCTGAGATAAGCAGAAATGGTCAGATAAGTTTGATGTTAAGCGAAATGAACCCCGAGTTAAGGACTCAAATGTTTTTTTTTTCTTTCTTGCTATTGTGTCTAACATATTTATAAGATATTTCTATGTTGCTTTGTATGTCCCTCCCCCACAGTATAACCCTTGTTTTCACTGTACTTGATATTGGTATAATTTGTGGAGGGGAAGGGAAAAAACAAATTGTTTAAATAGGGATACAGGTGGACCCATTGCACCAATGAGATGTACAAGATCTTATGTCGAAAATGAGCTTATACATCTTTGGCGTGGGGGGTGAGGGGGTAAGAGGGTGGGGGGAGGTGATGGGAAGGGATAGTAAGGGGAAACAAAGGAGGAGGCAACAATGCTTGATAAGAAATGTACTCATTACCTTGCCCATGTAATTGTAACCCCTTTGTATGGTATTTTCACAATTCAAAAAAAAAAAAAGGATTCTCTTAGAGTCAATATCTAATTTTCTGCCCCTTCTTGAGATGAAAGCCTTTCAAAAGCAGAAGTGGATTCTTGCCATTTGGGAATGATGTGGAAATCAACATCCCTGGAAGTGCATCTTCAGGCAGCAATGCAGAATGGAATCACTATATCAAAGATGGAATCACTATATCAAAGAGTAGACCCATCACTCATCTGCTCCCAAGGGCTACCCATGTTACATTTGTCTCCTGTGCACTCCATAAAGCTTCTCAGAGAACTCTCTTCACTCCTCTCCCATGTGACAAACGCTGACTCACAGCTGTAATTTATGCTGCCCCCAGTGAGTGAAAGACCTCTAATCTCAGATGAGTTGTCTGTAGGGTGATAGTCATAAAAACCAATAGTACCGTGCAACCTGGGCCATGGTGTCCAGCCAAGGGCTCACATCTGGTTAAACTCAGAATGAACACGCCTCACCAGGCTTGTGTCTGTGTGTTAAATTGTAACACAAACACGACAGAAGAGTTAAAGGGGAAAGGTTTCTCGTCTGTAAGAAAAAAAGGAAGTAGCTAGATGCCAGCAGCTCATACCTATACAAATTCCTCAGCTAAGGCTGAGTTCTAGAAGACTCAGCTAGGCAAATATGAGGCCTGAGCTCAAGCCCCAGTATTAACATGACAGGAAGGGAAGGCAGGGGACGTGAGAGACAGAAACCAATTCTTCCCTGAAATCCAACTTACCACAGTTTACTCACCATCTAGCAGCCAGTGTTGGCCGCTCCTGTTCTCCAGCTCTGACATCATTAGGCGTGTGATCACATGATCTGGAACCAAAAGACCTTTCTCCAAGTACTGCTTTGCCATGTCACCAACTTCTGTTTAGAGGAAAGGAAAAAGAAACATTCAAGATGATTTTCAGAAGAACTGTAGTACACACACATATATATAATCCCACCATTCAGGAGACTGAAGTAAGATGATTATAAGCTAGACTAAAGTTTCAGGTCAGCCTGAGCTATATAACTTTTGTAAAAATCGAGGCATAGCCAGGCGCCAGTGGCTCACACCCGTAATCCTAGCTACTCAAGGGGCTGAGATCTGAAGATAGCAGTTCAAGAAGCTGGACCAGGCAGAAAGTATCTGTGAGACTCTTATCTCCAGTTAACCACCAGAAAACCAGAATTGGAGCTGTGGCTCAAAGTGGTAGAACGCTAGCCTTGAGCAAAAAAGCTCAAGGACAGGGTCTAGGCCCTGAGCCCAAGACCCATTACCAACCAAAAAAAATTTTTTTAAAGTACTCCAACTGGCTGGGAAGGTGGCTCAGTTGTAGTGTACTTGCCCCGCATGCATGAGGCCCTGGGTTTGATTCCTGAGCACCACATAAACAAAAAAGGCTAGAAGTGGCACTGTGACTCAAATGGTAGAGCACTCACCTTGAGCTGAAGAGCTGAGGGACGGTACCCAGGCCCAGAGTTCAAGCCCCACAACCAATAACAATAAATTACTTCAACTATATTCACCCTCATTCACCCTCTTAGTGTATATTAATTATGCCAAGGTGTTTCACCATGATATTCACATGTGCATATTACATTTAATGAAAATAGTTCTTTCTATTGCTCTCTTTTTTGGTCCCTGAGTTGGATTTCTTTCTTTCTTTTTTTGGTCAGTCATAGGGCTTGAACTCTGGGCCTGGGCACTGTCCCTGAGCCTTTCAGCTCAAGGCTAGCACTCTAACACTTGGGCCACAGTGCCACTTTCAGCTTTTTCTGCTTATGTGGTGCTGAGGAGTCGAACCCAGGGCTTCATGCATGCGAGGCAAGCACTCTACCACTAAGCCACATTCCCAACCAATATAATACATTTCAGTATTATCCATCCTTCCATTTTTCTCTTTACAGACTTGTTCCTCTAGTCCTTTCAAATATTCCTGTAGTTACAGTCAAATTCTGTGAGTGTGTGTGTGTGTGTGTGTGTTTAAAGTTTAGATTCTGCAAAAGGTTGAAAACATTCACTATTTGGTTTTTGGACCCTTGGCGTATCTCATTCAACATGATGATCTCCAGTTCCAAAAGACATGACTTCATTTCTCTTTGTAACTGAGTAATCATCACTGGTATTTGTATGCCATAAGAACACACTATTTCTTTGCATGAGTTTCAATGGGAATACATAATACCCCCAATGACCCAGTTGAAAAAGCAGCTCAGCATTCTTTAATGGACTGGCAAGTTCATAAAAAGAATTTTTATTTCAAAACAAAAAAACTTTCAGTGAAAAAACTGCTTCTATCTTAACTTAAAATAACAATTTCTTATACATAGAAACTGCCGTGAGCTCCACAAAACAAGTTTAAGTCTGCACTATTTCTCAGAACTGCATATTTTCAGCAATGAAGCCCTCAGCTCTCCAGTGAGCTAATAATGAAACATTAAGCACCACAGTCTCACAAGCCAGTTAAGTTCTCAAGGAAACTCAACACAGAGTTATAGAACTGGGGGAGGAAGAGGAGCCCAAGAATCATTTCAAAACCATATCAGCAGATATTTGGGATTGGCCTTCTTCTACAGGCTCAGTCTACATTCCTATCCCCAAAGGAAGGCACTGTACACAGGCTATGAGGAGCTCTGGATCACTCAATTTCCACCACTGGACAAGGATCCCGAAACACAGGCTCAAGATGGGTGCACATGCCTGTAAACCCAGCGCTAAAGAGGATTAGGTAGCAAGATTGTCCTCTTTGAGGCCACACAGCAAGATCTGACATTAAAAAAAAAGCAACAACAAACATCAGTGCCAAGAAAAACCCAACAGGCCCACACAAAGTATTAGTAGAGATATAATGTGACATAGGCTCCACCTTACTGATAGATAAGGAAGCATCACTTACTGAAATTGCTGCATCTAAGAGCAGCAGTAACAACCATTCACTGAGTATATACTACACCCCAGCCATTACTCCCTAGGTACTTTAAGTGTTCTTCCATTCATTTAATTTTCCCCAAGAGCCTCATACTTTCAGATGTGACCTGATATTGCTGACAGCTTTGTGGAGACATAATCAACGTACCAAATTCTCATTTTCTCAGTGTTGTATAGCTATCACCAGTCTGTACACCAGAAAGACTCTGTACCCATTAGCAGTCATTTCCCATCCCTTTCCCCACCAAGCACTGCCCTCCTTCAGCATTACTAATCTCCTTGCTGTCTCCGTTTATTGTGGACATTTCCTATAAATGGAATCATACAATATGTATGTGATCTTTTGTTTCTGGCTTATTTTACCTCGCATAATATTTCCAAAGTTCATTCACACTGAATTACTACCCCTATTTCAATCCTTTTAATGGCTGGATAATATTAATATTACACTATATATATATACATGCATGCTATACTAGAGTTTATACATATATTAGTTGATGGACATTTGGGTTATTTCTCATTTTTCCTCTTTGGAGCAGCTGGAGTTCAAATCCAGGGCCTATCTCTAGACAAGCACTCTGCCACCAAGCTCCGGCTCTGTTTACACTGTCTATTATGCTAACATTCCAGTAGATGTTCACTTATAAGCTGTTATGTGAACCCCAGTTCCTTCAGGCAATGCTGTATGGTATACACCTTCTAAAGCTAATCAATCAATGGTTTTGTCCTGCCTTACACTGCAATGATCAGGTCGACGCAAGAGATCTGGACTGTCTTCCCTATCCAAGTATAAAGTAGACACAAACTACCCTCATTTCCTAAGGCAAGCAATCATGCAAACTTTGCACTGTTTTCTAGGACTTCCATATTATATATGGATGTTACTTTACTTTCTGCTTCCCCCAACTAGAGTGGCTTGATGAGGGGGAAAAAATGAGTTATATCTAAGGTCTACATATAACTATCATCTGACACTCTGAAACTACTATAAGGAAAACTAAGGAAGATACAGGCACAGGTAATTATTTCCCAAAGGACTTCAATTGCTCATAAAACAAAAGCAAGAATAGACTGCATCAAACTGAAATGGCTACTGTGTGGCAAAAGAAACAATTACAGAACCAAAATCCAGAATCAGCAGCCAAAGGCAGCTCATCCTTGCCTCTGAAGGAACTCATTAGAACAGCAAACACCATGTCACGAAGCAGAGGCCCATTCTGAAAACCGGCTCTTCATCTGCCCTCACCAGTTGACATGAAAGAGAAGGCAGGATCATCAAGAGCCAATGCTAGCACGTTTTGATAAAATACATACCTGATCCAGTTCAAGCTACATTCTTAAAGAAAAAAGAATGCAAATACATTCCAGAAGTGAGCACCAGCACTTGACTTTCTTTTGTTTTTATGTTGGCCTAGAACTCTATGTAACCCAGGCTAGCTGCAAATTCACAATTCTTCACCTCAGCCTCCTTTGCGCTAGCATTATACACATGTACTACCTAGCAAAACTTAACATTGTAAGACAACATAGAACTTAAGATAATCTATTAAGTGGCCCAGCCTTGAAAATTCCAGCTTCCATAAACTGCTCAGAAAAAAAAAAAAAAGCAGAAGTGGCATTGTGGTTCAGATGGTAGAGCACTAGCCTAGAGTACAAAGGGGCTCAGGGACAACACCCATGCCCCAAGTTCAAGCCCCAGGACAGGTTTAAAAAAAAAACTTCCTTGTAAGTCACAAAAATGGGCAATAAGTAGGTGACTCCAGCTTAGAAAATGCAAGAGAGCAAACACACACACACACACACACACACACACTCACATACACATGTAGCACAGGTAGCATGAAATTCATTCTACCATGACCCTAATTACACATGGCAGTTTATACACTGCATAGAATGCTCCAAATAGAAACATATGCAGAAGGATCCATAACTTCTTTGGGAAAGAAGGGGTAAGGGTGGGGGTGGGGCATGGTATATTATCCACTAACAAGAGCCTAAGAACCAGAGCCTATGGGATATGGGTCATTTGGGGGCTTAAATTCTCTCAGAAACACTCGTTCAGTTGTTATCTATTGAGTATTTCTTTTATGCCAGAAACTCAACCAATGTAGTATGAAGACTGTGTCAGAGCTTTGAGTCTGAACACTGGGATTCGGTGCTAACCTACCACCAACTATCAATAGATAAAAAAATTCATGAAAAATCTTTATATCAGACAAAAATAATAATAATGTCAGAATTATTACAAGTGATAGAGAAGCCAACCAGCTCCCATGTAAATATCTTATGAAACAGAAATAGGTTATTGATCACTACTACACACAAAGGTGGTCAAATATTGAATCTGCCACCAAATTCACCTTTGACCACCACAGAGTTGTCCCTACAATACAGGCAGGAGTTACAGCCATCTAGCCAGGCTCACTTAGCCTCCTGACAAAGGAGTCTCCACCAGCCTCTGAAGCTATGAAGTGGCCTTCTGCCCCCTAAGAGAGGACCTTAGATTTTTCTCATCACAAACCATGTAATCTCCATTTAAAATAACCTAGTGCAAGATTTGTTTTAAGAAAAGTGATGAGTAAGAAGTCAAGATAGTTGATTTGGGTCAGGTAAAATACAGTAGCCAGAACGCACAACGCAAATATCACTAGACACTGATGGCTCACAACTGTAATCCTAGGTAATCAGGAAGCTGAGATCTGGGAATCAAGGTTTGAAGCCAGCCTGAGCAGAAAATTCCATGAGATTCTTATCTCTAATTCATCAGCAAAATGTTGGAGGTCTGGCTCAAGTGGTAGAGAGCCAGCCTGGAATGGAAAACACCCAGTAAAAACACAAGACCCTGCGTTCAAGCCCCAAGACCAGCACCAAAAAAAAAAAAAAAAGTATTTTAGAATCAATGGCTATTTGTAATTTCAATTATAAATTCAAAGGCAAATGAGACGTT